GATTGGAGTCAACCAGAAAACCAGTAGGCTCTTTATAACGCTAGCCATCTGGATCCGGACTGGACGGGTAAGAAACAAGAACAAAAGTAAAGGTCGTCTCATGTTTCTTGTGGTACCAGCTGAGTCGCTTGCTCTGGAAACCGCCTTTGATGACCACGACGCTATTGTTAAGCAGTTCCCAGGAATCTCCTTCGAAAGCCCTTCTGACAACAAGTCTCGAAAGCACAAGCTCATGAGAATGTCGTTTGTTATGGAGTCTATGAGAAGCCATGTGATAATGCCACAGTACAAACGCCAGGCAAACGCGAAAGGTCAGCAGATGGCGCTGCTGCGCAAGCTCAGGAGCCTTTCTGAGTCGGACAAGTTTCAGCTTGTTGCAAACTACGACGAAGCAACCTCGACTGCGATTCAGAATGTGTGCAAGACCCTATCTCAAACAGCAATCACTTCTTCAGTAATCCTCGAAGAGTTGTACTCCAGCAAACAATCCGGCTGTATAGACGAGTGGGTAAAGCAGGGTTGGTGTGCACCGAATTCGACCAACTTAGACGTGGTCGGCAATCCTAAGGACTTCGAGACTATGAACGTACCACAAGATACGCCTGCACCTCCGCAGTACGAATCACGAGCACCCAGCTTCGAGGAGCTGTTTAGCTCACGGAGCAAGAACTGTATCGGATTGCAAGCAAGTCTAGGACTGGCTGGAGATCATTCGTTGCAGACCTCGCCATATCTTCCATCCACCGCGCCACCTTATTCCACTTGTGCCGAACTCGACTCAAACCCCTATGAGACCACATACCAACATGCCAGCGCAGTCACGCCCGATAGTCATGGAACTCCTGGTCATGCAATGGTCACGCACTCTGATTACGCCGAGATATTCTCTATCCCACCCTCGGAGGATCCCTTAACGCCAATGCCAACGTCTTCTGACTACATTGGCACATTTCTGTCCGGATTTTCGAGCTGTCCGAACAGCGCACCAGTCGTTCCACTGGGTCATGGTGAATCGAAAAGCTCCATCGACCGCTCTGCTCAAGAAAGGACCCGTAGCTCATCTCGAATGTCAAGCAAGGGCTCATCCGCACGTGTGCAGATACCTGCGACCAGCCCTAGGTATGCCGCCACAACCTTTGTCAACTCTCCAGGGGACGTAGTCAGCCCGATTCCAGACTCGCTAACAAGAAAACGCCGGCTATCGCAATCTCGAAGCAACGAGATGGCGAGGCCCGCCACTCGGCCGTTCTCTACGGATGGAGTCCTTGGTTCTTGTTCCCTCACAATGCATGAGCCTTGCAATATCCTCTCGAATACTGTGGCAGACAGCCTGTCTTACTCCCATAGACTGACTGACTCTAACCAAGACACAGCAGATCACGATCAACGTTCTGTGTCACAAAAAGCATCTGTTCTGTCCCTGTGGCTTTTGGAAGCATGGAAACAGTGTCCCGTCGCACACCACGTTCTCGCAGTGGAGCTCTTAGAACTTGCCACTGCTATCAACCACAGCATTTGCGAAGAAGACGTTACCACTTGCCGTGTCGTTTGCACACTCGCTCTGCTTGACCATTGTACTAGAGAAGGGTCAAAAAACTGCTCCCATGCAGGTCTCGAGATCGAATGTAACTTCACGACCGAGCTACGCAATTTGACTGCATGGTTGTATAAGATACATCCGATGGCAGACATGGAGTTTTTCTCGTCCCTAACGCAGTTGTCCTTGTTGGTAAAACAACTACAAATCGGTTCCTTCCCGAACAACGAATATAGGGACCTCCTACACATTACAAGCAACAGAAGGCAGAGGTCGTAAGTCAGGTCTGCCTACGATATAGCGATGAGTTGTTGCAGCGAGGTTCAGAAGCCGTCATCTTTAACATGTTGGAGTAAAAGCGAAAGCGGGGATCTAGTCATCGTTCGTCATTTCTTTTCGACTGTGTCTTGTCCACGTTGCGTAGATATATGTTCCTGGAAACTAAATCTAGCTGAAGATACCAATCAGTCACACTATAGCCTGGTATGTAACAAGCGAGTAGAGCAGTCTGCCTCCTTTTTGGAGGGAAACGATCACACACGATTCACTATAAGTGTGTAGGCAGGCAAACCCTGAGAGAAGCGTCTTCACGAATTCAAATAGACTTGCTCACACCCTGCTTGTAATACTACTGTCGCCTTCTTCCAGACTGTGCTGTGACACTTGCCTCCCATATCTTGTTTCCTAATCATTAGTTTTTCAGTAGTCGTCAGCCACGATACGTCCCTATAAAGCTCATATCCAGACCGTGTAGCAGCGAGCAATCAATAACCTGAATGTTCTAGGATATATTTGACGGTGGAAAGGAAATGAAGTACGAGCAAAGACAGCATGTGCACGAGCGAGAGAGACTAATCATCATACGCCTACTGCTTTCAGTTGCTTTCGTTTGTTGCAATAGCCACTCTTGACTGGACCATGTCGACCTTCTCGTGACACCTGTCGTTTGCAGTCACGGATGTATAACACAAGTGTCGAAAGAGCTCAAGATTCATCTCTATCGGCATGTCATCGAAGGATCCACCTGACTCGGGACATCTATCTAGACTTTTGTCGCGTTTGCTGGCTTCTTCTTCCTAGATGAGAATCCATACGCAAGCTGCCAGACGAAGATGCCTAGAGGCACGCCAACTAGTAATGTCCAGCTCAGCAATGAAAGCAGTATAACGACTAGCGAGAAAACCCAGTATGCTCGGCTCATAATTGTCGTGGCGGCGGCGCCGAAGCTTGGGAAGCGCAGAGTTTCTGTTGGCGCAGCGAGCATGACCTACATAGATGATAGTGTCAACGAGACACTTGCGAACAGGAAGAGCAGTAGTGCCGCTGCGGCCTCCACGTATGGCATAGTAGACCAGTAAGGTAGTTCGTAGAACCACCAGGTTGGACTCCCTTGAGGTCGCAAGAGACGCACGGCCCAGTTCAGGCGCGAAAGTCGCATTTGACCGTAGTGGTATCTCTTCGCGACTCTATCACCATCTTTAAGAGATCGGAAGTTGTGTATAAAACGTGACCATTGAGTCCAGTCGAAGTCGCCAGGTATGAGTAAGCTATTCTTTGCTATCTCATAGTCACAACGGTGACGAATGAGGAAAGCGTATGAACGGAGAAACCCCGTGGCAATTAGGCGATCTGACCGTCTCGAGTCTCGTGCAACAGACGTTGTGCCTCCTCCTCCGGATGCTTCCACTAGATATCGAGTCCAGAAGTTGTGATTGAGCAAGCAGAGTGGTATGGGCTTAACATAAATCGTGTTCTCTGTCCACACCATGTGTAGCCCGCTATCTTCGGATGGTACAACAGACCTTCCCTTGATTCTCTGTCGATGTAGCGGATCAATATGGTCGAATTCTTGGCGGCCCACGAGCCACAGACTAGGATACATCTCGTCTAATACAGGCGTATCAAGCTCTCTTTGGATGAAATCATGGACGTCCTTACCGCCAAGACCTATCGATGGTTCGCCTGGAAGGTGGTTTAGGGTCGCAGATATAGGCTGAGAGAGCTGATTGGAGTTTGACGCGTTTTGGGCTGAGTTGACGGTTTGGTTAAGAGACACAAGAATGCTAGTGTCCAGGGCCTGGTCGGGAGAGAACAATGTTTCGACAGGGCAACGAGCGAATGAGTTTGTCATAGTATCGTCCTGGGCTTAATTGCCCTTATGTGTTTTGGTGCGAGGTTGAAGCATATCCCACAAGACTACAGTAAGTTGGAAGATTCACTCGCAACAGGCCGTTTGCGTATAGGTAGACAAATTGAGTCTGGCTTGTGGTCAGCCAGGTACTAGTATGGCGACATTGTTCAGGAGCATATGCGGTTGTGAGCCAGTGATGCGCAAAATATGAACTTGGACTCACTATTAAAAGGCCAATCAGCATGCGTGGCTCTTCAGCCTCTGAGGCCTATTGGACACCCTCAGAGGACTCGAAAGTTGACGTGACCGAACAACGACTCAAGCGAATCGTGGATATATTAGGGGAAGAACGCAAAGTGAGAAGAATGTTTCTGTGATCTACAGTCTGCACAAAAGCACGAAGGCTTGGGTACCCTGGAAGATACTGCAAACCAGAACAACCCTGTCGAAATAAGCGCCATCCATATGCAGGGTAATTGGAAGCCATCCTATAGGCCACCTGCCTGGTCCAAGATGCGAGCGTCCACATAAACTCGCATCGATGTCTCTAGTGGAAGATACTCGTTACTGTATCGTAGAATGCACAGATATGGTAATCCCTCATTAGTCACAGAAAATCATCACTCTCTGCTACTATCGATCTTAGACCGACGTCTGAGTTTCTTGCAAAGCTTCCAACGTCGCTATATCTACTGCATTCAGTATTTCCCATATCTTCTTTTGCAGAATGATGCATTGATAATTCAATAGGAAGTAGCCGGGTAATCGTTATGGCCAGCGCTCTGGTCGAGTTCGTGCCTGAATATAAAAGGTGCCAATTTGCAAAAGTACTGCCGTACAAGTGGATGGGCATGGCATAATTCCGCATCACTCTGCGCTGGGGCTGAGTATTACTGCATGCGTTGGTGGAGGCTTGGGTGACGGCGAGATCCTAAAGCTAGTCGGCGGCTGGCCGAATCCTTGGGCCGAAGCTTGGCCAGAGCGAAGCGCTAATCCATTCTGGTGATCTCCACTGGCGCCAATGCTCATGATTGGATGAAGGATGGTGGTGGGGACTAACGCGGGAGAAGCGTTTCGGCAAACCCAACCCGAACCAGATTCTCGTCAAGCGATGAGAGAGCCTTGTGTGCTCAAAGTCAAGATCGTCTCATTGTCAATCGCAAGGGTCGCTGTGATGAGCCTAAAAAACATTCTTATTTATCGCCTCGACTGCCACTAAAAGCCTTCTTGGTGAGTCTAGTCTGTTTGTCACCCAAGCGCGCCTCCAAATCCGGCCTGAAACAGCGACACGATACGGCTGAACGCAATCATGCATGTCCGCTGCAGCTTACGAGGAGCTTTGCCATTGGCTAGGGTCGAGCTCTATCCCGGAGTCCCACTCGCATCACGAGGCATTTCCAATGTGACAACGGACCAGCAACAGCAAATTGAGATGCTCTTCCCAGAACCGTCTCCAAGGCAAGCTCTTCGAAAACGCACACCACTACTGTTTGTGTCCGTACCAACACCAGATCAAACATGGAGACAGTCGTATCGCTAGCCTCTGCACTAGCTCTGGCAGTCTTGCTCGTTTTCCTCTTTTACAATCAGGCTGGGAGGATGATACCGACTCGCTTGGATGCCCGTCGAGCCCCTCAAAGCCAGGATGGACTTTTACGTGTTCACGGCAAAGATACATGCAAAGACACTGAGGGTGTAGAGTGAGTTTTGCTAGAGTCAGAGAGTTGTTTCTACTAATCAAGGTCATTTCAGTATTGTGCTGGTTCATGGTCTTGGGTCCAACCCCGACACGACCTGGTTAGCGGAAGCACCCGAGGATAGCATCACTTCCGATGCGTCTGACCTTTCTGACATTGCTTCTGCGAGTAGAGCGAAGAGGTACGTGAACTGGGTCACCGAGTTCCTGGTGCACGACGTATACTGCGCTGATCAATTCACTCCACGTGTTTTCTTCTTCAACTACGACTCGTACTGGAAAAGGGATGCACTAGAGACAAGATTATGCAGCATGGCAGACAAGCTTTTGGCCAGTCTAGAACTTGCTCGCGGCAGCGAGACTGTACGATTTTTCCAACTCAAATCGACCAATTGGTAGCTGATGATGATAGGGAAAACGACGTCATCTATTGTTTGTTGCACACAGCTATGGGGGTCTAGTCGTCAAGCAGGTGAGTGGACAGAGTCGCCAATGCGATGGATTTGCTTATACTGCTAGCACACAAGGCCATAGCTCAAGCTATCTCGAAGCACCAGGAAATAAGGGAATCTACAAAAGCTATCGTCTTCCTGGGCTGCCCTCACTTTGGTTCCGATTTTGCAAAGTGGGGCGTCGCGGCGGCGCAGATCCTCTATCCTCTAGGCTCAAATCCTGTCATGTTGCAGGGGCTAGAGTACGGTTCGCTGTTACTGCATGACCTACACAGACGATTCATCGAAAACTCTTCGGACACCAGAGTCATAAATTTCTTCGAGGAACGTAAAGTGCGCATCCTGAAACTAGGATCATTCCAGTGGGAGAAGCTAGTAAGCAGGAACGAATGACACGTGAACTCGGTTGTACTGATGACAATTCTACCGTCAGTGTGTCACAGAGCAATCGGCCACACGGCCGGGTCGCACCGTGGAGAACTTGGGTCTACCTGTAGATCACTATAATCTCAACAAATTCGGCTGCCGTAGCTCTGGATACAAGTCTATCTGCAATAAGATTAACAGTCTCATCCAGTCGATGTGTCCCAGCCGGCAAAATGGCTACAAGAACGATGAACACCGGGATTGCCACCAAGTCTTCAAAGCCAGCACATACGAGCAGTTCAAGAACATCAACCCCGATCGTGTCGACCAGACCTGTCAGTGGGCCTTGTCTCACCCGTTGTACCGGCGCTGGAGAGATAGTGCTACCGATGACCTGCTCTGGATCTCGGCAGATCCTGGCTGCGGCAAGTCGGTCCTCTCGAGGTCGCTGGTGGACGAAGAGCTTCGGAGTGATGCAGACGACAGCACTATCTGCTACTTCTTCTTCAAGGACAACGACGAACAGAACAGCCTCGCGACTGGTCTGTGCGCGTTGTTGCACCAGCTTTTCCAGCAGCAGCCACACCTTCTCCAGCACGCTGTCCCGGCGTGGAACAAAGATGGAAGCAGACTGCAGCAAGAGACTGACGAGCTGTGGCGCATCTTACTCGCAGCGACGTCGGATGCGGCTGCACGTAGCGCGACATGTGTCCTCGATGCTCTTGACGAGTGCAGAGACAGAGATCGAGGCGACCTGATCGCAAAGCTTGCTCGTTTCCACGCAGACGCCGCGTCTCGGGGCCCTCGTCAGTCGTGGCTCAAGTTCATCGTCACGAGCCGGCCTTATGACGATATTCAGAGAGGGTTTGAGCAGATACCGGCGTCTCTACCTGCTATACGCCTGCGAGGCGAGGAGGAGAACGATCAGATCCATGCGGAGATCAACCGTGTTATCCACGTCCGGGTATCGCAACTGGCGAAAGAGCTCGGCCTTCGCGAGAGCACATCCGTCCGTATAGAGCAAACTCTGCTGGCGATGGAGCACCGCACGTACCTCTGGCTCCATCTGGCTATCGACGATATCCGCAAGACTCTACAACAAAGCTTCAGACCAGACGAAGAGCCCGTCAAGTCGGTGCCTTCCTCTGTAGAGGGCGCCTACGAGAAGATACTGGCTAGAATTGCACCAGAACAGCATCAGAAAGTGAAGCTCATCTTGCAGATCATCGTGGGAGCTCGGCGACCATTGGCAGTGGGTGAGATGGCGTTGGCGCTCGGTCTTGCGACCTCTAAGCAGCACAGGACATGTGCAGAGGCTCAGCTTGATGCAGACCACCTCGGCAAGCAGCTGAGGCACTGGTGCGGCCTGTTTGTGTTTGTCAACCACTCGAGGATATACCTGATACACCAGACAGCGCGAGAGTTTCTTGTCGCTCGTCAAGACAATGGACAGTCCTAGAGCTTCGCGCACAACACATGGAGGCACTGTGTGCAGCAGATGGAGATGGAGCAGACGATGACATCCATTTGCATACGCTGCCTTAGCCTTGAGGACCGTGAGGGCCCATTTCGCGAAGAGCATTTGACTAATTTTCCAGAGACAGGAAAACGCAGAAGGGACTTCATAGAGTATTGCTGTGAGCGGTGGACGGCTCACTACAGCTTGTCTCAGGACGCAAGTGGAGAAGACATCTTCCAAGGCGCGTTGGCTTTGTATAACACAGACGGCGAAGCATTCAAGTTCTGGTTCGGTCAGTTTTGGACTAAGACACGGCGGTATGATCACGCAAAGAGCATGACACCGATACGGCTTGCTGCACTAAGTAACCACAACAGAGTCCTGGAATATTTTCTCGGCAAGGAAGGGGTGCATGTAGATGCAAGAGACGAGAGTGGACGAACGGCATTGTACTGGGCGTCAGAACAAGGCCACGACAAGATCGTGCAGATGCTGCTCGACAGAGGTGCAGACGCCAACGCGCAGGGCGGAGAGTACGGCAACGCACTGCTAGCAGCTTCAGCAGGAGGCCATGGGAGTATTGTGCAGATGCTGCTCGACAGCGGCGCAGACGTCAACGCGCAGGGCGGATACTATGGCAACGCACTGCAAACAGCTATAGCAAGAGGCCACGACAAGATCGTGCAGATGCTGCTCGACAGAGGTGCAGAAGTCAATGTAGAGGGCGGTAAGGACGGCAGCGCACTGCAAGCAGCTTCAGCAGAAGGCCACGATAAGGTCGTGTAGACGCTGCCCTTCCATGGTGTTTAGCTCGATGCTTTAGACAACCAGGAAAGGACTGCGCTTCGTCTTACAGCTTGTGATGGTCATGTCGAGCTGTTCTAGCATATCCTTGCTTAAGGTGCGAATCCCAAGCAGCAGGAGATCAGGGGAGATACTCTACTTAGCTATGCAGCTGCTGGAGCGTCTCTTAAGATGGCGGAGGATGTTCCGAGTCTTAACGCTCCTCGAGCGAAAGAATCACTGTGGTCTCCGTTACATTGGGCTTGTCTGAAGGGTAACGTGGCACTGGTAAAACTGCTTCTGGCACACGGGGTCGATAATGCCTCAAAACTTCTATACACGCCATTCCATCCTTGAAAATCAATCTTCACAAATTAGGTCGTGAGTATTAAGAACCTCTCTAGGGAGAGTACGTAGAAACGGACCAATAGGCCTGAATAATGCCATATTCCATCCAGCATCTGTCCGTAGTGAGACGTGTGCAGTGAACATCTACTCGCCTACCTAGTCGGCTTGGAGTAGATGCATCGTTGCACCTCTTCATCAGCCTGTGAGGTCTCTTTCTCTGGTAGGTCGCCCTGGTCTAGCGCTCTGTATTTGTTCTTTTCTGCCTGCTTCACAGCTGTCAAGCTGTTAAATAAATTGTTCTTGACTCATATCCTTGTGATAGAGACGACAGCACGTCTAGATAGATTGATCCGCATGCATCGTCAACCAGGATCCTCGCTAGAGGATTTTATAGTCCCTTTGCGGTCTTTAGAAGGCCTCACCCAGACTTGTCAGACAATTTCGAAGGCCTGGCAAATCCTGGCGTGTTTGAATACCGTCTAGCATGTTCCTGCCCGGCAAGCGTCTCTGTGGCCCGTCTTCACTTGCGTCCGAGTACGAGAAGCTTCATCAGCTCCTCTGCGACTATTGCCGCATAACTCTACAGCAGCCCTCACCTGAATCAACAATTAAGTTGCCACGATATCTCAGTGTTGAGCCTCACTGCCGTCCATCCGAACAGATATCGCGCTACTGTGAGAATGTGCAGAATCTGTCTCAAAAGTCGTGCTGTATTGTGGTTGACTTGGCTGTGCTGTCCAATTCTGCTAGCCTTGCATGTGCATGTACATATGCATGTGGCGGGCTTTATTGGTGAGTTATGAGTTGGCTGCACGTGCTGGGCGTCAGCAGACTTGTCAATAAGAGCCCAAACCCCACTCCTGGAGCACAGCTTTGCTTCTTGCTTTTTTCAAACCAAGTAGAAAGACCTTTTTAAAACATAGAACCATCAGATCCAGAAGACTTTTGCCCTAAAATGTCCAATGGTCTTCCACCCGTCCTATATCGCTGCTGGTCCACGAAAAGCGCGGGCGATCTGAGAAGCCGCAAAGTACGCAATGGTGTTCGTCCGCACCACTTTACACAAGCAGAACTGCTCCAGGAATTCCAGCAGCACAGAAATCTCTATGGTCGCACACCCACCGCGTTCGTGTCGACGACGTCCGACTTCATCCGAGCTCTCCATGTCGCCTATCAAAAGATTCCTAACGAAAAAGATGCACGAAATGTTAAGATTGCATTCCTCACCCGAAACGGACCCTCGAACCAAAATCTACCATGCCAAAGATTTTGCCATGGGAAGTGGGAGCTCGGAGGAAGAAGCCAACATGTTCAAAAACGAGTACATTTTCCTTTGGGAAGTGCCGGACGACAATGTGATTCATACCGTTTCGATGGACCTTGTCATCGCAAGAGGATTCACTCTACCTGGACTTCATGTCGGCCGACCTCTGCCCAGCTCCTCCGACCTGCGAAGGGCAATCGTAGACCATGGAAACCAGCTGTCCCTCTTTGAGAGAGGATACCTTTGCGGAACAGCTGCCTGCATGTTTGGGGTAAGGGCACCCGTATATGATATTGCCTTAGGGGTTTCCTGTTGGGGACGCGGTAGGCCTTATATCATCGATCGAGCAACTGAAGAAGCCATCCAGGATCGAATGATCACTGTTGCGGAAGACTTGGAAGAAGAAGGGGAACTGGAATTTCTGGTGTCTGAGCTGAGTTGCTTGGAGGACACGCACGACGAGGCCATCATGGAGATAGGCTGGGAGCTGCAGAATGGCCATGATGTAGAGGACTTACAGGCTTTGCTCGCGAACGAAGAGTCGAAGATCACGGGTCACCGTCAAAAGATTGCAGGCCGAGTGGAGGCTGTATACCAGCGCTTAGGGTTTTGATGGAGATGTTGAACAAGACTTACCTGAGAGCGACTGAGAGAGGCGAGTGAGGGAGACAACTCAACCAACAGACTCTCCGTATAGCGCTTGAGATTTATGCATCGTCGTTCGTTTGACCAAGTCCAGAAAGTATTGCAGGACCGAGACCTCAAACGATAACTCGTATGGACCCTCGACGTCTGCAAGGCGAGCAAGCCAAGAACCTGTGAAAACCGACCTGCGTGGGACATTGCCGTTCATGTAGGCAAGTTCCAATCCAAAGGTTCTCAGACAGGCAGATCATTCCTTGCGCCTGCATATGGAGCAGCACGAGGGTCAGCAGAAGATGGAGCGTCAAGGTCATGGGTGTCCGTAGACGTGGTGTCTGTGACTGCGAGCAGCGCTTGGAATGCTGTAGACTTCGAAGCTGCAAGGCAACTCGAGCTACGCAGTCTGGCACGTCTTCTGTATCGACCCTCGTCTTCATCTTCGTCTTCATCTTCGTCTTCTTGTCCTTCAGCATCGCACTCGCGCTCCTGGACTGATCCTCCGTTATCGCGCTTGCGTTTCGAAAGACTGAGACTTCGAGACTTGCAGCTCAAGTAAAGTTGCATGCATTGGTCTGCGTTGACCTCTTGATCAGACGTCTCGCCATCGTGTACAATGTAGAGGGCTCTCTTGGTGCCTTGCTCCAGGAACTGAGCCGATTAAGCAAAAACAGTCCAGGTAAAGCGTGCGAACAAGTACTCGGGCGCGACGCCATATAAGGGTTGCAAAGCGACACCATGGTAGAGTTTGACAAATTGCTCGGACAAGCCGGGGGAAAACAGATGTACAGCCAGTCCGTGTGTCGCTGCGCTGTCGCTAGCAACAGGCAAGGGCTTGAGAGTGATGGCGAAACGACGTTGATCGAAAACTGTGTGTATGTCGGAGCGAAGCAGCAGGGCGTTGCGCGGGACGTCGATGGGCTCGATCTCGGGGCGGGGCGCTACACCGTAGCGAAACATTGTATTTCGCCGAAACCAGTCGACTTGGGTACGCGGGACGAGATGAGCGTACTCGGTACCTTCGACGGTAGCAGTCAAGCGACAGGAGATGTCGCGCGCGAGCAGGGCGTCCGTGAGACTGCCCTGAGGAGGCAACGCCCGGCTGGGCGGCATGTTGGGCACTCTGAGTTGCGACCAGCTAGACGGGAGATCTCCATGTGGGAAACGCCAGTGTGCGAAGATATGGACGAGGGGATATCTTTCTGTCGGGTTGGGGTCGCATCGGTAGATCTCGCGCGTCGTCGAGCACAGGTAGAACCATGATGATGTTGTGCTCATCTCGGTAGCCCGGATGTCGAAATGTCACGGTACGTGTCGCATCCTCAGGAATGTCCCTTCCGCCTTCCTGATGCGTCGGAGCAGCAAATGGTGGCCGTACTTGAGCCATGGTGACGATAGCGACAAATGTGAAAGTCGCAGACGGCTTCAAGTTTGTTTTGAAGCGCAGTGGCAGGACAACCGACAAGAATGTGGGGGGTGCTGGCGCTGGCTATTCTATTTTGGTCATCCGCTGCTAGGACTCTGATCAGTGATCAACCAGGCCGCCTTCCACTATGGCACTACCTACCCCACACGCAATCTGCCTCGTCTCCATTCGCTCGTGCAAGCTCGATAAGGTAGAAGGCGAACAGCATCCAACAGCCCTATTGTCTGCGGCCGAGGCTTTGACCAACCCTCAAGATCCAAAGATCAGAAGCAACTCACTTACGATTGTGATTCTTGTCATCATTACCGGATCGCATGGGCACACTCTCTTCGTTGAAGCTGGTATATGTACATAGACGCGGTACTCAGTAGACAGACACCACGGCAACGTTTGATTGTAGTAGACCACTTATTCGTCGGGCAGAGGCAGGTAAAGCCGAACTTGACAAGCTGGCAGGTGCAAGCGAGATTGAGAACGTGACTTGGCGGTCTCTTTCGTCGCGTCATCCAGAGAGAGCATCATTCAAAAGTCCAAAACAAACTTTTTGACTACACTGGTCTGACACAAGTATCAGATGTCACGATAGCATCCACAGGCCAGTCTGTCTGGGACGGTGCCCGACGCAAATGCACACACGGACAACAAGCATGTCGAACCCATACCAGCTTCCACCTCCAGTGACCGCAGAGCCCAAGCACCGTTTCTTCGACCCATGGAACTCGTCATCGACCGGTCATCAGAAAGCAGACAACCGCCTCGCAGGAAGCACGAGTTGGCGCGACGCACGCAGTCTGAAGCTTAGCAATCAATTCGGCGGAGGCGCGTCCGGTGGTGCTCGGCTTGCAGATACTGTTGGTGCCGGCAGTGAAGACTTTGGCAAAGATGGCAGATTAGACAATGGGAGCTGGGCCAAAGGCGCACCTGGTCTGAGGAGCGGAAGCCAGATGAGTGTGGTAGAAGCTTTCAGGATCAGAAAAGTCGGTGTCAAAGATACGCCGACTGAGAAAGCAAAGGCAAAGATTATGGTCAATAGAGGCAAAGAGCAAGAGCTGGATCTTTTGGATATACCTAGTGCGCAACCGGTACCACAACACTCGCCACAAGACCAAGGCCCAGCCTCGAGTTACGACGACGAACTCTTACGCGAGGACTCAAGTCCTGATGTGCAGCAGAGCGAGATCCACCAAGATCAGGATCCAGAGAGCGCCGCTATACGGAAATCTCCCCAGGTGTTCGCGGGGGCTTGCATCTATATCAACGGCAGCACGTATCCCACAATCTCGGACCACAAGTTGAAACACCTGCTCGTGACTCATGGTGCACGTCTCAGCATCCACCTCGGTCGTCGCTCAGTCACACACGTCATTCTAGGTCGTCCTAATGCCTCTTCTATTATAGGTGCCGGCGGCGGTCTGTCGGCCTCAAAAATGCAGAAAGAAATCACCAAGATTGGAGGCAAGAATGTCAAGTTTGTGACGGTCGAGTGGGTCATGGAGAGTGTGGCTAATGGGAAACGAGCACCCGAACAAAAGTTCGAGGCTGTAAGACTGGCTCTCAAGGGCACGGGAAGTGTCGAGCAGATGTTTGCGAAGGCTGCGAAGAAGGCGTGAGAAGATCCGACGCAGCACCAACATTGATGGACAAATCTGTGCTCACTAAACAATTACTTCACCACACTGATCCACACGATCACTTTACGTCTACAAAGTGTCTGCTCTCTGGAAGCGTCTCCAGAATTGATGTGCTTTCGGCTATCTATATACTCCGACTGGATGTTGTTCTAAGAGAGGCGAATAATTTTGCAATTCATGCTGCCTATCGTGATGGGCAGAGTGAGTATCACTGAATCATCCCCGGCTTACACTAGAGCAAAATATCAAAATTGCACCAATCAATCTCGCTGGACTATCGAATACCCTAGAACGTGCCATCGCTAATCTCGCTGTTCACAATAGACTTCGCCCCAAATAATCACGAATCCTTACCAGCAAGATACGCTAATCCATTCGGATGAGATGTACATTGCAGCAATGGAAGCACTCCTGTCCTAGTTATCCTTGCACGAGCAATTTTTCGCAGTCCATCGTTCTAGACAAGCTCAATGCTCTGGCATCACCGAGTGTTTATTCCAATTCAGACTCTGACGCTCATTGGACTCTTGGTAGATGTAGCCATCACGGTTTCGCTGAGCCCTAAGCTCCAGTAGAGATTGGGTGCAATTGGTCTGATAAGTGATATGCTTTGTGTAGCTTTGAGAATGCGCAAGGGGTCATACCTGCAGCTGACCAATCTACCTGGCCTGTTGTATTCTGCTGTACACCGTTGTGCATTGATGTGACTAACAGATCGCGTTTCGTCGCGTTTGGCTCCAGCCTCTTCCCAACCTCTATACTTACCATTCGGCATCCCCGAGCTGAGTGCGGCTGAATTTTGGCACAGGCAGAGGGATCCGGCGACGGCTGTCGAATCCTGATGACCTACCTGGCTTATAGTATCTCAACGTGTGACGCGCTGGTAAAGACCAGGCACGCGGTCCCTGCCCCTTTCCGAAGGCTTTCGAGAAAGCTGCACGACCATCATCTGCACATGGCTTGGTAACTGATCCATACATGAGACAGAATCTGGGTACCTGACTAGCAAGGCCTCGGGTCTCACCGATCGGTCAAGCCCTACCATCTAGGCTGCAGCCAGCAGAATTCTCTCCAGCCGACGATATCCGTGGTGACTGTTGCAGGCTGGAACAACCAGAGTTGGTTTCCCTGAGCTGTCGGCTCCAAGCCCAACGCAGGAGTCGACTCTTCTTGTTGTATAAATTGTGAGACAGTTCCATCAGGATCGCCTAGCAGATACCTACAACAGCTTCTGCCGGTACACCCGAACTGTCATTTTCATCTTTATCATGATTGCCAACTTGCTGCTGTTCGCCGTAGCAGCCACGGGGGTTGCTTCACAAGCTGAAAAACCGCCCTGCGCCGATCCCGGTCTGGAAAGTGCTACTGTCGCAATCTGCGGAGTCAGTGGGCTTGTGAACGGTACCTGCATGTGCCAAAACCTCGATTCCATCCTTACCGCAGCAGTACCGATTCTGGATGCCCTATGTCCAGCAAGCAGTGTAGCAAGTTTGTGGAATCGGAAGTCAAGATAAGCATTTCTCTTATTTTTCTTTTTGCTTGTCATTTTCTTGCTTGCCCGGGACGGCAGGCGTCTCGGCCCGAGCCCTAACCCAACACGCGGTCGCTCATACCGTTTGCAAAGCTTTTGGGTTTGCGCAGGACCGGAGAAAACGGCCCGCCGAGTTGCTATAGCTATCGACGTCACGAAGCCGTCCTCCCGCTTTGAAGACGTTCTCCTCGTCCTGTCGGCCTAGGTCCATACCATAAAGATGGAGCTCTTCACAGTGATCAGGTACAACGCTAACGCCATCGCCCCTGACAACCACAATGTCGGCTGCCTGTCTTGGTCTACAGACGCCCCAGCCCACCATCTTGCCATGAACTACGATGCCCTGGCTCTCGCACTGTACCTGATCGGCTTCCCCTACATCCTTGGGATTGGCAACCATCCAGTAACTCCGAGCTTCCACATCTAGCACGACGCGCTGTCACTGCCAGCTGTCTTGAAATTAGTGGAGCAGGATACCATGTGCCCGATCATGCATCCTGTGCTGGCCAACTTGCTAGTGTTTCTGATGTGCTGTCTCGCAGCAACATAACTCGGTCCAGAGACCACAGTACTGCCTTATTGCTTTCTGTCTCTTGTCGATGCAAACGGAATGGTAATGATCTGCACGCATGGAAATGAAATTACATCCTTACCGTCATATGCCGCACCTGGCACGCTTCCATCTTCGCACAAACCGGCGGCAATGTCTATAACAACCTTCAAGATAATGTCGATGTTTTCTATCTCAGCCGACGCGGCACCTTCGTTGTCAGTCCTATGGGGCCCGCTTCAATCCAGGTCGCCATGTTACGCCTTCTAAGATACGCGCCGTAGTGTCTTTCCCAAAGCACCGAGGATCGTCCTCATTTTGCGTTGTGGTCGCGGATCTGTGAAAGACTCGAGATCGTGGCCCTCGCTCCGACAACCTTGAGTCTTCGATGGTACGGCCATTGTACCCTACTGCCATCACGCCAGAGAATTATTGCACTGATAAAGTCAGAGCTGCATCGTAAGGAAGCAAGGTCGAAGTCTTCTAGGACCTTGGAAAAGATGCTCTCGGAGTGTCGTGTGAGGGAACCAAGTGGTCTAGTCACCAATCATCATCGGAGCCTTTTTCAAGCTGGTACGAAGCTCAAAGTTGCGTCAATCTGTCATGAATTTCATTTGTGGCCACGTTCCAGGCTTCACCATGCAAGGGGCGCTGTGGTTTATGTACGCTTGCAGGCTTGTATCTTCGCTGCCACTTACATGCCACCCACCCCATGTGAAGTGTTCCTTAGCATGATGTTTTGTTGTACTCGATAATCCAGACGTCACAAAGAGACACGTTGCTATGGTTCGCTTAGCGACCTTGAGTGCTAGCATGATGCCGTCTTTCTGCAGATGGTGGGAAATTGGCATTATGTGGCTTCGATATCATCTGGCCCTGCTATGACATACTACAGCTTGGCGAACACGAAATAACCATCTAGCCCATGGAGCAACTCAAGAGGGGAGGAATAGACTCGAGACTAGCGGTCAGCCGAAATCTTTTAGGATACAATGATTGGCAGAACGACGAGAGACAGGGATATGAACAGAGTCCAAAGACTTGGATCAACAGCGCTATCTGATGCAGGCGCTGCATCCCCGACACTGGATCTGAACTACGACCGACCGAGCCGCAATTCTGATACAGCCTGTGCAAGCACGACTAGTCTTAGGTCGATACCTGCGACATGGTCATATTCATGTCTTGGCCTGGAATTGTGGGCAGTGTCTCCCCCGATGAAGCACAGGAAGTGGAGGCAAGGTAAATGAATCGAACAAGCGACGGGTAGGTTCTTAAGAAGCACTTTTCCCAACACTCTGCAAGTGCTTTGCTGATCAACATCATCAACGGTCACAAAAGATCTTCAAAAGCCTTCTCTTCTGACACTTCGACTTACCATCACACAGAATCTGTACTGCAACCCAATCGTTGTCCCTTCCTTGGATACTCCTGAGGATCGAGCTTTTCGCTACTGCTGGATTCTGTACGGTAAGCTGGTGGACTGGCTTCTCATGCTGATAGCCTGAGATACTTTTCTTGACCGTCACTGACTCGAAGTACGAAGGGTCTCACAATATACTGTATCGATGCCAGGAACTTATACTATCGCACAAGCGCTGTCGACAGCGCAAAGATCAAGAGAATCACATGGTTAATGCAATGTCTATCACAGAAAGGCTGTTTGATCGTGGTCTGACAAAATTGCATGTCGATACAGAATCCGTCGAGCAGACCAGTTCTAATCTGCGGCACGTCATTGAATGCCTCACCGAGCTTGGCAAGGATGGAAAACACGAGTTCCAAGTCAAACACATGGTTCTCTTGGGACAACTGATGCGGAGACTAGAGAAACTGTATCCTGGACTTGCACCTGGAGTTGTTCTTCCCTCTTGCCAAGCGACACTCGCCGAGGCCGTGACTGCAGTAGGAGATTTGATAGACTCGTCTCAAAAACTGCCCAACTTCCTGGAGAATGGAGAGGTAGATGTGCTGATAGAGCTAAAGAAGGAATTGGAAGGTCCAAAGAATGGAAAGGAATGAAGTATCGAGTAGTCTATGCGATCGACAGGACGTTCCACTCTAGCTTGAGAGTACAGTTCTCTGATCAGAAAGCCTATCACGATAGAGTCTGAGTTGCAGTTACACGACGAACAACGAACGAATCTTTGTGCTTGATCGAACACTCTACGTCTGCTTTATGATTGATCGAGAGATCCTTGAGTCATAAACTGTGACACGTTCTGCATTTCTGGACGCATGACTTATCTGATTTGCAGCATATGCTCACTAATACAGAGAGTTATTGGTTAACTGGATTCAAAGTTGCAGACAATATCATTGCTGTTATGTAGCGCGATACGCACCCTCAGCGCAAAAAGCATGTCTCGGGCAAACATGTCGCCTCATTCTATGAGATTGCGATCTGCGTTGATTCTTCAATTTGATATAGTGATGATGCATGGTTTGTCTAGATCTAGTGGCTGCTGGAAGCAAGTAATACTAGGATATCTTTGGGGGGAATGGGAGCCGCAGGTGAGATTGCAGGACAGTCATTGATTCATCAAACACATTTATCTCAGCGACTGACAGCTTGCATGGTTTACTGATCTACACACGATAGAGGTCAGGATATCAAGCGACCGTATGAGGATTCTGGGCGCGCATTATCGAATGTGTTCATGCATGGATGTTTCGAGTCCGACGGATGCGCATATCTAGGCAGCGCTGCCTTCTGAGAGGTCAATAATGCCGCTAGCAAGCTGCCCCCTAGGCGTCAACACAATTCCATTCCAATCCCGAGGTAGGTTTTTGACTTTTACTTGGTCATTAGATCTGGGGGCTCTTGCTGAACCGACACGACGCCCTCATCCTGTGCTTTCGTCTCTCTCGTGACCAACTACTCTTTTTCCATCTTGAAACTTATCCTTCCCCACGGCACCTTCTCGAAACAGTTGAAAATTTGTCCAGATCACTCCTCATGGGTGGCTGGCGAGTTCTCCGGATTAACGAATTGTGTTCGGACACGTCCACCTCCCCCACCATACATCGAACAAGACATGACAATAATGAGCAGAAAGAAGCTTCGAACGTCTTACCTCAACATTCGCACTCCACATGCTCGCTCTCTGTAGTCTTTGATGTCAACATATGTAAAAGCTCGAATCGTTATCGCTCCTCCGAGATGATCTTCGAGTGGTGAAATCCAAACGAGCTTAGACTCGCACACGTCTGATCTGCTAGTATGACAACCGTTTTGTAATTGGTTCAGAAGAGACCCGATATATGTAACGTGGAAGCCCTGCAGGCGCTGAAGCGACTTGCCACTAGGATATCTTCGAGGCGAAAGGAGTGGGAGCTGTAATTGGGATCGCACCGCCTATGTTCATTGCTCAATTTCCGGTCTTTCCAGCTTAGGAAGCTCATAGGGAAGGTTGTTTGAGACACTACGCAATGGGCGTCAGGAAGCTAAGCAGCCATGGTCAGGCTGTGGGTGCGCATTAGTGAAATTGCTCAAGCACAGGTGTTTCAGCCTCGTCAGATCCGGATATCTAGGTAACACTGCTGACTACCAGGCTAGCACTGTTTTCATCGCACCTCTGTCTCGGCGTCAAAGTATCTGACATACAGTCCGAAACGGCTCCTCAAATGAGTGTCTCGTTTACTTCTGCTATCTTTGCAGATTACAGACGCAACATCTCTATCACAGGTACTGTACCTCCTGGTTGTCTTTGTGTCACCCCCAAGCTCAACATCCCTCATGGCGGCTTCTGCAGCAGATCAAAGCACCCCTGCCAATCTGTCTCGTGATATGACTGCCAGTCCCCCGGACATGGCAGACATATCACGTCTAGACATACTGGACGCAAGAGTTGTACAGTCGACTTCAGACAAACAACGAGACGCCCAAGAACTCAGCACGGACGCGCCAACCCGAATCTCCCAGGATTTAGACGCTCTGAGCAACAAATTTGCGCAGAAAGATGACGGAAGAATGGCATATGCGAATCGCAAGAAGGAATCTCTAAACATCAGCAAATCGAAGTAAGTAAGGATATAGAGACATCTGATTGCATCAACAAAGGCCGTCGCGGGTGTGTCTTCCTGATGCGCTGAGACTTTCTACGTTCAGGCTTTCTAGAAAGAGAAATACATCCAGGCCTCCCCTCACAATCCGATGTTCCAATCCTCCAGCACTGCAGCACTTTTTTCTAAATCTATGTACAGGAAAACTGAGAAGAAGTACAGAACAAAACTCGAGTGCTCCATCTGTTTCCTAGTGCGAACATTTTCCGATGCAAACTGCCTTCGCCGACACGAACGCGAGATCCACCAGATGCATGGCGGATCAAGGAAACTGTTTTGCCAACACAAAAACCGCAACAACCATAAGAAAAATCCTTTCAAACGTCCCGAGTATTCAGTCGCCCATATGCGTGCGATTCATGGAGGGCAGCCTTCGGACAGCCACGATGCTGTTATCCAGGATGAACTGAAACCCACAACGACTGTATCAGAGCTCAAGTCAAACGAAGAGACTCCATAGCACAGATACAGACGCTCAGGACCTAAGGAAGGCTGTCATAACCCGCCTAGGGAACACATTATGACCCAAATCGAGGCTGTACAAGCCGAGAGTTCTTCTATCTGAACCATCTTTAACAGTCTAGGTGTTGAGATGCAGTCCTTGAAAACACAGCTAAGTCAGATTCAGACAAAAGCGAACAACTTGTCGATTGGCAGCTAAATGAAGAAGACATAACGGAACACTGACGTTCTTCTTACTGTGGATAACATCACTTTGCAGCATCAACTACGACGTAAGCAGAGGACGCTTCTGTCGAAAATGCAGCATGCAGATAGCCTGTGATCACCTTGCTTGAAGTCTTTCTGCAGCTTCGTACGCATAACTCCGGAGGCTCACCTATTGCTACTTTGTAAGAGATCTACATTGTTTTTCACCTTCAAGCGCTTACTATAGGAAACTGGTGGAAAACTCCTTGTTATCCCATATTTGAGTTGTCTGATCTCGAAATTTTGTTGTGACCGTGATGTAGCAACAGGGTGTCCATCTTATGGTTACATGATGTGAAAACATTAAGTTCAAGCTTGAGCACTTCCTTGCTTACATGCCAGTCAGCCTACTGTATTGGTAAAGAGATCGATCCTTAGCTGGTTTGCAAAATATCATACATGATTACTGGTAACAATGCCAAATGTCAACCATAAGATAGCAGCGAATGTTACGCTCAAGCTGGACTGATTCGCGATGTTGGATGGGTAGAATTCACGCCAGGAAAGGGCAGTCTACCAATTGATGCTTGTGCGATCTCCCACTGTCGCTTTCTTCATCAGATTCTGCTTCGAACGTCGTTCGGTTCTCTATCAGAGATGAGATCCAGAATGATGCGAATGAGATTCAAGACTCTGTGTTGTTCTAGCTCCACGATAACAACCTCTCATGGTTCAGATGGTTCAACTGGGTATCCAATTGAGATCCGTGTTTAGCGATGCAGAACAACAGCATTTATAAGCATGAGAGCTTTTGACCGCTTTGAGAACCATCCACAGATGAGTAAGGTATACTGCCTCAGCCGAGCACGCCTAGTTCAGTTCGATCAGCTATGATGTGACGGTCTCGTGCGGCAGACATATAACTGAGACACCAATGGTATAGTAGTTGTTGCTGGATATCCTAGCACCCAATACGAACTGTATTGCCCACATCCTGCCATACCTTCAAGCTCTACCATACAAGGCTGCACGCTTTTTAGTATCTCCTATATGTGGAGCCACACTCTGACTGATATCCACCGACAGCCAAAGCCACACGAGATCTTTCTTCTCTAGCATACTTGTAAAAGAGGGCACGAGGTGGCTTCGATAGGATCTTGGAGATTCGAGGAAGTAATCGTCGAACTTCATCACCAGTATCCTGACTGGCCTCTCCCTGCCCTAGTGATCTACCAATCAGCCTACTGGCGGTCTCTACTGCTGCTCTGGCTATGAGTGCTGCTGGTGTCGACACAAACTCCGAATAACAAAGCGTGAGCTCGCAAATGTAGAGCATCATGTCATAGAGAGGCTTCAACTGTTGAAAATCGAGCAGCTCAATCTGCATGAATCCAATGACTGCGGGGAAGCCGACTAGATAGTCCAGTGTTAGAAGCACCGTCTTCTCCATCTGTGTGATATCCTGCAACTCATAACCAGAAAATAGACAACACCTCTCACGAAAGCTCGACGCGGTGGACAAGCGGTTGAGATACTTGCTCGCCAAGAGAAGAGCGACACCACCTAGGAGTTTACAATGACATCTCTTGACGATTCTTTTTGAGCTGTATCTGTCAAGGATGTTGACTGCCAAGAACAGTGTATCAGCACCAAGTGCTAGATCGTTCTGGCTCTTTGAAAGCAAAACGACCAGATTGTATCTCGACTTCCACCGATACTCAGGTTGTAGGGCGATTCCAGATCTGTCAGGCCGCGTTCTGATCTGACAAAGACATTAGATATGCAATGCACCACGCGGTTTCTGCGATGAAAGCGATCCCACCTCCAATGACGACATATGTTCCCTCATCTCTTCTCTGGAATCGCTTCTAGGTTGAGTCTGCATCCATCTTTTTTTTCTTCTCCCCCCCTCTGTGAACGCGATCGATACTTTGTCCATCAGATGATCCAGTCTCCAGAGGATCGAAGTGATCGAGATGTAGCTCAGCCAGGTTATCGAGCAGTCCGTTCTCAATATACATGGTCTGGGTATTATCTATCGTGGATAAGTGACATGTCCTCTGCTTCGGAGGTCTTAGCTCTCTCCATCGTGTACGTCCGGAAAATCATCATTCACCCCTACTTCTACAAGATCCCCACGAGCCGAAGGCCAATTTGGAGTTTTACGACGCTTTCGTATCCTATGACTATGAGGTTCTGTCCGCGTCTTGGCGTCGGGCGACGTCTCAAATCATTCAGCTGTAAATTACCAGAAGACTGTAATATATTCCACTCAACCTCAGATCCGTACGATCACTGGCACTCTAATTGCGAAAGACTTGGGAAAGACCATGGTGATCTGGAATTAGAAGCACAGATTCCCGACTTCACAAGCGACATCAATCCGCGGATAGAAAACACGACTAATCCCCATCCTATGAGAAATACCGCTGGGTTGTAGTGTCTCACTACTGATCACTGTCGGATCGTTTTGTTATTGATCTCCCGGTAACTATTGTAAGATCTCATATAGTAGTGACGACTGATTGCATACAAAGCGACCGAGTTTCCGAGCCAACCAAATCAGTGTCGAACCCTAGACATTCAATATGCATGAGGCTGTCGATACATAGCAGACGAAGTCTTTTCCGCGATGGGGACATATTGAGGAGTTCAATGAGTGTTACTGTGCATATACAATGCGGCTCGGGTTCCAGTCGCGAGCGACCCACTTCTATGCGACTACCTTTGGAACTACAGAGTTCGTAAACTCCCGCAGTAGCCTCTTCTTGAGCTTTGGAAAACTGTTCGCGGAATGGAGTAACCTGAAAGAACTCTCTATGAACTGTTCAATCTCCGAATCTGGATCGCTCCCCACATCTCTTATGAATAATGTGATCTGCAAGTAAAAGTCGATCTCACGGTCATCCGCAGAAAGTCGAGCCAAAGTTCCAACATCTGTCATGCGCCTAAGGTCAGGACCTGAAGGGTAACTGTTTGCCACTATGTGCGCAATCTGCGTCTCTGAAGGATCTACGATTGACCGTAACTCGGGGAAGGTCTCTGGTGAAGCTGTTGTGGCGAGTATATGAGGACCTGTCGTAGTCCTGCTCTCAACTTGTACAGTCGAATCTCCAGTCCTATCATCCTCTAGGCTGCTATGGGAAAACACAGTCAAAAGTCGGTGCTCCATACTTCTTACCATAGTAAAATGAAAGCAGCAAGTGGCAAGAAATAGAAGCAGAGTCAATATCGCCTGCACCTTACAAGCAAATCTAGCAGTCTTGCTCTCAACACTGATGAATATGCCGGCGAGACAGAGCTGCATGATATACAGGCCCACGAAGAGTTGGTTGATAACATTCGAGAATATCTCACCGTTAGTGCCTGCCGCGTTCTCCTTGAATCGGCGCAAGGCTGGCTTTGTTGCCATCAGAAGCGCAAACAATCCTAAGCTGCTGGGCAACAAGGCTAGAGGGGTGATGATTGAATATACTGTAGCTGCGAAAGTCAGCTTGAAGAACCAAGTTCCGATGGATTTCCCGAGCCTACCGATCACTCCCAGAAGCGCGACTGTCGAGTACATCCCTGTTATGGAGAAAGGATCCTGTGAGGCAACCGCGGCAAGATGACGGGGCGTCGAGCTCAAGAAACGGCTCTTGAATGTTTTCTTGAGAAGATAAGCCCATTGCGCAATCATGTCTGCGAAAAGCGAAAATCCCTGTAAAGTCAAGAAAGAGATGAAATAGTTACCGGCTTTGGGGAGATTCAAGGCCAGCACTCTGGGTATTGCAGATGGCTTGTTCAGGACTTCAGACAATGTGACCATCAAACTCGACGAGATTGACACTAGCAAGAAAGCTTGTAAGAAGAGGAAGGCCGAGTAGTATCTATAGTACGCTATCTCTGCCTGAGCATGAGTGACATGACAGTGCCAAGAGGAAAGATATCGCAGAAGCGACGGAACAAGCGCTACCACCGCAGCGACAAGCAGTTGAGGTACAGCGCCTTGGAGGTATGCCAACGCGCGAGGAGGTATTCGGTTCACCCAGTAGAGCCATGAGATGTTTTGTGTCAAGTCTTCCATCTGACCGAGTGATGCACTGAAAGTCACCGGCAAGGCGAGCACAACGGACAATCCCAAAGAAAAGATTGTCATGATTACGTTGATCACTGTCCTCTGGGCCCTGGGTTTGCGAGCGTTCAACCAATTGATACAGTCTAGAGCTTCAGACACCGGATAAGTGTGCAGAGGCCAGATTGTTTGCGGCATAACATCACGAACAATAGCCGAGTCTGCTTCGAAGATCTTCAGGATCGCTAGACTGGAGAAATCGTATTCGACATACGGCTTGGTAAGGTACTCTTGCATTCTCTGAAAACAGCGCACCAATCTTTGCCTTGTCCGATGCGAGTTCTCTGGAGCTGGGCTGACGTTGGCTCAGTGCGTTTACTAGGCGGCAGCTTTGTACTGACCTTTCTTGTGCTCTTCTCGACATGCCTCTTTCTTTATCTGAGTTAGCGCTCGAAGGTATGGTTGTCCATCGACGAATGGTGTCTTGTTGTCTCTCGTGGTATGCAGTCTGACTTGACACGCATATAGCTTATGGAACATGGACTCCATCAAGTCTTTTCCGAGCCTGTTCGGAATATCAGTAACGAGGTAGAAGCGACTAGCCGTGCCAGAGTCGTGCATGTGCCTGATAACGACGAATTTTGCAAGCTCGCGACGCGAAAGCAAGCAGAAGAGACCCGTGAACCAGTAAGTCGCAACCAAGTGTGTCCAAAGACGGCCAGTGTTGCCTTCGAGGATGTTCAGGCAACTGAACTTGTCAAGGCCATGGATCGAAGAGTCTGACTGACGATGGACGTAGTTCAACGGCACCAGAAGGGGCACCATGAAGATGGCAGTCAAGCCGAAAATTCTCGTGAGCAGGCGAAGTAGAGCAAAGAGACCGATAGCATCTAAACACGAGCTATCTAAGTCGTAGAAGATGGTGTAGAATGATCTGATATTCCTAGCATCGAAGAACAAGTCAATTCTGCTTGCTCCTGTGATACTTTAACAAATCTCACCATTTTCCGCGATATCTCCTGCGGAGGATGACAAACCCCCCGATCTGTACAGCTGCTACGAATGCACCAACCTGTATAGAGGCCAGGAAGCCATCGAAAGAATTTCCGTAGTCTTGTTGAGCCGATCCGTTACCAATGGCTATGGTGTTGGGATCCATGTGCGTATCACTTGTGTCTCTCGTCTGTGCGCAGTCTCATTGCCTGTACTTAGACTCATGTGAGATCTATATATTCGCACTGCAAAAGATGGATCTTGTAAGTGTGACAGACTCTTCGCTGTAAACCTCACTCAACGACCTACCAGCGATTGACTGTCTGACATGACAGCATATTTCGCTCATGGTGTTCGCCTGGCTCAGAGGACTCAAGATTTCACCAAAATCCCGAACATGGTCTCGTCAAAAAAATCAAGAATCGTGGTCGCGTGGTGGCATGGTTGTGTTTATACCGTCGGTCTATTGAGTTTGAACTGTGGGAATGCGGGGAGTTGGTTTTGACCGATCCTGCCAAGACAAGGCTGAGTGTAGACTAGCTCACGTAAATCAGAGAGCAAAAACCGTAGAGATGATGCACTGAATCAGCATGTGGATCATTAGATGATCGATATGCAAGAATGCATAGAACGTTGAATCTCTTTTTAGGACAGAGCAGAAGAAAACTCGGACTTGGATCGAACTTGAGTAAGACTTGGTCATGAAGTTTACGACATTGGCCCGAGGCATGATGTGGACACCATGAGATTGTGGTATCGAATCCTGACATCATGACTACCATTCAAATTTCGTTGCACATCAAAGCCACCTATGGCTTATTGTAGCTACACTCTATATGCTAGCCCGACATTAGGGTATGAGGATCACAGATTAGAGCCCCCCAGTCGACCCCAGCAACCGCTAAGGTGATAGGGTTAGGGAGCAGCTTATTCTGTTGAAGCACATTCTCTATTATCGTTCTTAAAGACCAAGTAAATCTCATCGGATTCGCGAGCCGGCGGAGGCAGGGGCTTCAGGCTTATTTCCTGATGCTTTGAAGCAGATCCAGGACGAGGCCCTGTGCCTGAAGCATAGTTCCGGAGATTTCGAAGCAGAACGGACAGTGCGGGAAGGGAAGAGGTGATGATCTGATCGTCCATGTCAGCAAGACATCGTTGCTTACCAGCAGATGGTAGATGTCAAGTCTGTACTTGCCCCGACACAATTCTCCACAATACCCCAAAAGACAAGCATGGTTGAATCTCCATCATTGATCATGGTCTCAATCTGACATACCCGCGCCACGGAGCAGATAGGAGTCAACAGTCCAAGAAGAGTTAACGCGATCGGGCGGGCACGTTCTGCTTTGGTCAACTGTAGCTTACTTAGCAGAGGTATTGGCAATAGTATAGCGACAACATTAGTCACAAGCATGACGATGAATGTGCCATAGGACAAAGGACTGGTAGCAAGGCATCTACCGTCAGTCTGCGGTAACCACGCTCTCTTGATTGGCTGGCAAGAGAGCAGGAAAAGCAGAAACGACACAAGATGGGCTAAGACGATGAAAGTTATTCCGAGGCGGAAATTCCGTTGGTGAGTGGAATCAGTCGCACGCTTACAGTACTCCAGGGCCGCGAAGCCTAGGGCAAGATTGTATGCTGCTTTGGCCAGGATGTGCGCCAGGTTTTCCACATAACCAAGCTGGAAGAGTGAGTGCTCGGAAGAATGGATAGAGACTAGGCCTCAGTCTACATACAAGAGTATACAGCTCCAAGTTGGCTTTTGGGAGAAGATCAAGGGGCAATCCCAGACCAAGTCGAGTCTGAACGATTGCGAGGACGATATATACGACAGCAAAGGCCTGCATGTGATGAGTCTCAGCTAGCATTGCTCATAGGATCACATTCACATACTGTATACAAGCAGAGATGGTAGTAGCTCAGTCGGCCGTTCTTGTTAATCCGTAGACAATGGTATCCTCGCAGAATGACGATCAGTGTCATCAGTGGAACAGACACCGCGCAGACTGATATCACCATTAGATATCTTGACTGATCAACAACCTCTGGTGACGCGTTGCGAATCCAGCCCATGATTTCGAGCTTTCAAGCAATAATCCAGCTTGCATCAGATATGGCGGAAGAAGCTCTCACGGATATATATATATCAAAATGAGATAGTGGAACGGTATGTGATCCGTGGCTTTTGTGGACTTCCGTGATCACACCATCATTTGGTTCTCATGTCATCTACCGGCTCATTGTGGGCCTTACACCTCGTGCATAAGGAATACTCAATTTCTCCTTGAACTTTGTGTCGTTGATGCAGCGCCATATGACCCTCGCAGGCAAATCGCCGCATAGTATAGCGAATTACTGTCTCAATCAAGCTAGGTTCTGATCAAAGTTCAGAAGACCTATACAGTTATGCCATCGACACAATGTGGGGGCTGGAACAACCAATCGCGTATTGAGTGACACGGTCTAATAATCTGTCATGGTGAGTTAGACATGTTACGCATATTATCATTTTCCAGTCCACGGGCCACTCAAGCGCCCTCATGACTGGTCATCGCCGGACGACAAGATTTACTCACTTCGACGCCACCTGGCGCCTGTGAAGTATCGGTACATAGCCGAGTGCAGGCAGACAGCTTATCAATAACGAGCATATGTACGGTGCGCCACATACAGGTGTTCGATGGGTATGGTTGAGGAGCGATTCTATACAAAGCAATGGCGCTTCAGGAAAGGGGATTATCAGCTTTGCTGGTTACCGTCATGTCTGCTAGATCCACCACAGGGCCAGCGAGTTCAAGAGCGTCCGACAATGCTCGTACCATCTCAAGAAGCTGCTGCGCCTCGAGAGCAGCCATAGCCTGCATAGATCCGCCAGCACACTTCAGATAATCTCTGTTATCTCCACGATTACCATTGAAGACAGACCAGTTGGCTCTTGCGATGAAGCATGCCAGCTGTAGATTCCACACTTTGCAAAAATCTTGCAAAAGTTCCCTTCTCTTTACAAGAAGCTCAAGACCTGAGAAGAGAGACTGTGACATGGCAAGATTTCCATATACCCATAGATAGGCTCGCAGATGCCGAAAGCCAGATATATTGCTGTCATACGAGGCTGGTGACGCGGATAAAGAATCCAGAAAGCGGGTCACCGAGTGGAGAACGCTAAGATCCAATGCCATTCCTTGGATACCGAGTGACGGAGATTGAAGCGAAGGCCGGGCGTTCTGGTTGTGGACTGGATGTTGGGCAAGATGCGTAATGATTTATTTAGATTCCGAGCTATAAGAAGTTCAGACAGATGTAAACAGGAGGCCGTGCCCTTTAAACCATGCTTCCAGTGGAAGCTCATCACCGTAGAAATTCAAAGTTCAGTTTGCGAGACCCCTGTCAAGTCTAGATCAGCGGTGATTATGCCGGTCGCTAATCGTCGCATAATTGGTTGGGTGGTACTGTAAACAGGTCGTAATTTACAAGATTACCAGTATACTAATCAAACAACCCGCCGTATGTTCTTCTCGCTCGCTTTTTCAGTCTACTAAGGAATGCGCTGAGATGTTCTCATTAGTCAGAACACCGGGCCTAGTCGCGGTCGCAAGCTCGATTTGCCCAGGTGTACAGCCACGCAATGCCATATAGCAGCCGCCGATTCGAGTCACTAATGCCGATGTTGAACCAAGACCGACAGCCTCTTGATCGTGGGAACAACGATCGTTTCTCATCTCAAGAGGCTACACAAACAACATAGTCGCCTTCTCTGTCTGTACACTCTAGTGTCGGGAAGGTTCTCTACATCTAACAGCGATGCTGTTGCGTGAGTGGTTCTCAAAGTGCAAGCGACACCTTTCTCAAGTTCTACCCCTGAGTACATGTTGTCGAGAACTGGGACAACACTGATCGGGAACACACAACAGACAGGCCCATAACAAATTGGCAATCGACATGTACACAAAACCATGTATCTCCACTTCTCTTCGCTGCAAGAAACCTAATGCTTGAGCATCTTGTTCATACATGACATCTTGCTGGGACCAGATGATCAAATAACCACGCGACCCCGATGTTTTCATACTGCTTGTAGTCGAACCGTCATGATATGACTACTTCATGCAAGGGAAATTCCGCTTCTCTGATGTCAAGGTCGTTCAGTGCGTATTTTAGAAAGACTCTCACGCACTGACGAGAACCAAGACCGCTGCAAAACTATGGCAAGATCTGTAGGACTTCGTGAATCGTATAGAAGTTGATATCATAAGCTTATGGCCTTCGAGCCCTGGCCTTACTCGTCAGCAAGTCACGAGATAGAGCGAGAGCGAGCTTCGACTCTATACACCGTTGCAGATACGCTACTGTCTCTGTTTGCAAGCTCCTGACGATACGATCGGAGACAATCTCCTTAGTGAGTTGTCTTAGATCGTGGGATAGAGTAGGGAAAACTTCGCAACGCTCGAGGATCAAGTCTGCCGCGGGGAGAACACCGATGTAGTCGATGGCTTCCTCGCTGCCCTCGATCTTCCGTTTAGAAAGCTCAACTGTGAGACATGACCTTGACAGATTGCCGTGCTGATAAGGACTTGTCGCTCGGTTCACTAAGTCCTCGACGTGAGACACGCTCTCGAGAATTTTCTGCTCGTTGAAGCTACCCTCACAAGTACACGAATCCTTCAATAGCTCCAGCATCGAGATTATGTCCTCCAGCAAGCCAGGTGCGTCTCTGAATGATTTGAGTTTGTCAGAGTTCTCTGCGCTCTCCAGATGAAGGGCTGAGATCTCAGCTTGAAGCTTGTCCTGGATCAGTTTTGTGCCTTCCAAGAGGTTGGTCTTTCGAACTCGTTCGGCCAGATCAGTAGTCTGATCATCCACATTCCAGGGTAACTCGTTCGCCCATTTAGCGTAAAGTTTGACGTGCGGCTCCAACTCCTGGACTTCGTGGATCATACGGCCCAAGCGGATCCCTATCAATATCTGAGAAGACTTGTATGGGTGATTGTTCACGATACTCAAGACATCAATCGCCTGTTGATCCATGTGTTCACAGGCTTTCCACTGTCTTCTCACACTGGAAGGTGTCCTAGGAACTTTGCGATGGGCCAAGAACGTGAAAGCTCTTTCTAAGACTTCTTTCGGTTTCATGATTTTGGCCCTCTTCGGTAAGCTGGTGAACAACATGGTTCGATGCATTGATGATCAGTGTTCAGCTACTTTGATGAATCCGCGCGACATCGTTAATATCGATGGCCGCCCTCGAAAGATTTCTATCCATCACGCGTGGAACGATGTAACATGAGGTCATGAGCTGATCATCTCATCAGTTCGATTTTACCACATCTCATGACGGACAGACTAACGGCATTCTATTCGCGAATTGTCGTTTTCGAGCTCAATTTCAGCCGGCTGTTGGCAGATTCGGTTTTACGTAAAATTTTACAGATCGCCTTTCTGGCGAAAGCCAGCACAGCGGCTCTAAAGGACTATCTCTCATGAGCTCACGTTTGAAAAGCATTAAGGTGAGATAAAGCTAGAACACAACAATACTCGATGTCCGACAAAACAACGCCCATCAGCTGGAATCCTCAGCGACACTGGAACGGTATCGTTCTATGAACCTCAACTCGACATAACGGAGAATCAGATAAAGGATGACAGAGGCCACGAATCCGACCAAGATCGCGAGCTAGTGTAGGCAACGTCAGTAGTGGATATGTAGTCAAGAGACAATAACTTACGTCTAGTCCAGAACTCTTGAAGAAGAAGCCTATCGGACCGATGTACCATGTCTGTGTCATACACAGCACAACAACGGTACAGCTCAGTAGGAAGGTTGCCGAAGACGCAAGGCCGAGAGGAAACTGTCGCTCGTCCTCTTGTAGTAGCCACTTGTTGTTGTAACCCATACATTTGTCGAACAGGACGTATTCGGTGAGGAGGATGCCGAACCAGATACTGGCAAGAGATCCGGTGATCGAGTATACCGATATCATGATATCCGCCAGATGATCTCGACCCAGCACAGCGAACATGACACATATCGGCATGATAACTGTTGGATATATAGGCGTCGGGACGGATTCAAGGCGAGAAGAAAGATCGTACAAGTCGGCGAGCATGCTGTACATTGACTTTATCATGTTTATCATGATACCAAGCACTAGCACTATACCACAGGAGATCTTGAGCATCATGCCCGTCGGATGTAAGACCTCTGCGATGAGCGTACCTATCGATCCTTCGTAGGCCTCCCGCCATGTTGCGATCGTATCCGCTTTTGCACCCAGTCCAGCACCGACGACGAAGGTGAAAGCAAAGCTTAACAACATGCCGATCAGGGTTTGCAGAAAGATGAGACCACTCTTGTTGCTCTTCCCATCGTACTTGCCGATTGATGTTGCGAAAGGTGAGTAAAGTATGGCTCTCGCCAGGCAGAGATTGAAGAAAGAGATCCGGTGACCAAGTGAGAGCTCACCCTTTGCTCCCACCAAATAAAGTGATACTGACGTTGTTGGATGTACAGGTTGAGATGTTACCACGCTGCTAAGGATAAAAACAGCCACGATCTGCGCGCAGAGTGCGTAGTTGGGGTATATCTTCTTGACGCCGAGTATCAACACAACTCCGGTGATACAAGCGGACGTCACAATCGCGATGGAAGTCTGAAACACTGCCAGAGCTACAATGGCAGACAAGATCTGGCCAGCCGCTATGAGCTCGACGACCAGGACGCCAAGGATTGTGGCGCAGTTGAGGCACGCCAGAATTCTGGCAGGTACTCTGCCTACTACATGACGGTTGAGGGCTCGCCGCCCATGTTTGGGAGCAAAGGTGGAGATGAACGCCACGGAGAAAGATCCCATCGTCAACCCAGCAAAGCCACATAGGAAGGCGTCACGCAAGGATAGATGATACTTGAGTGGACCAAGAGAAGCAAGTATGACATTCGTGATCGCGAAGCTGGTTTCAGTCCACATGAACGTGTTTAGGATATCGGCAGTAGCTGTTGAGCACTTTTCTGACAGTGATTCCGCAAGTGCTCCTGTTCCGCTGACATCGCTCTCGTTTCCAGACTGGTATCTCGGGAGAGTCTCGGTGGGACTGACAGAGTTCTCGGTAACCATGGGATGTTCCTTTGGCAGTGTCTCACTGAAGTTCATCCTGGATCGGTTGATAAGTTGGAACTTTGTGCGGCAAGCACTATTGTTGGATGTTTGTTGGATGAAAAATCAGCCATCATCAACTGGGACCGCGCGAGTGAGCAAAGAGGTTATTGTAGACTCGATTGATTGTGTTCTCCGCATTACGGGCGTCACTCTGTCCTCTTACGAGAGTCACGCGATACATCTTTGTAATTTACGAACCCTTGGCGGGGCTTGTAAGCGGACCCGCCATATATAGATCAGCGATGCGCTGGAACTAGTCCAGGACGAGCTAGTGGTCTGAATCATCTGAATACCCGTGTCGCAACCGTCTACGATACGTACGGTAAAATCGAAAGTCAAGTTATGACAGGACGAAGAATCAATCCTGTCTGTCGTTCGGCCGTCGCTCTATCCAATGATTAACTCACGCCAACCTTATTGACGATACGCAGAAGATCTCGGAGGCCGGATCACGCTCGTGAGCACGAAGTAACTTGGGCACTTTGGTCTGCTTGCATCTCTTGTGCTGATGATCCACCAGTATGGTCACCGGCTTGTAATGCCCGGGACGGAAAAGTAGCGTGCCTAGTCTGATCATCAATGACCGGATGCTACAACGAGCATTGAGAAGCCAAAATTACACGTCCGACAATGGGGAACGCAACATTGAATCCTTGATAATTACACATACAAAACAGTCTCTGATGAGTATCTGGTGAAGTAGTCAGTCAGTGCATTTCCATTTTCTACAAGGTGAGTTCCAGTACGACATATAGCTGAGCCATTGCGGATGGACACACAAATACATCAAGTCTCATCGTCTCAATAACCTGAGCGCTCCATCTCTTCAGCTCTTTCTGGAAGCTTTATATTGCGATACTCTCACTATTCTCTGAATCTCAAGCCATGGCGATGTTAGAGAGATGCCCAAACGAAGTTTTGCAGGCGATCGCCTCCCGTTTGTCGCTTAGCGATGTGTTGAACCTCCGTCTTGTATGTTCAAGCACGGAGACAGGCATACGGAACTATATAACGATCACTTATTTCCGCGCTCTCCGGATGCGGTTCTCGGAAAAAGGTCTGCACTACCTCGCCAGCAAAACACGGTGTCATTGTCTCATCAAGGGGATGCGATTGATGACCATTCGGTTCTACCAGATACCGTTATATCATTTAGACCACTTGGACTCATCTAGGCTCAAAAGACTTCACCGAGATTTCATTGCATCCTCGTGGCATGACAGCGAGCCTCAAGCAGCAAACATTATGCGGAAGTTGAACCAATGGAGTCTATATAGATCGTTCTACAAGGCTCAACGACGGATGCTTGAGCAAGACAGAGATTTGAAGCTCCTGCAAGAGGTGATGACCAATTTAAGGACATGTGGAGTGATGTTGAATATCGAATACGAGGCGACGAATTATATTGATCAGTCCTCTCGTGCAGAAGACATCTCCGATCTTCTAGAGTTGATGCATGCATCGAGCGTACCCAAGGTCTCGCAGTCTGCACGCCTCTGTTACATGGTCGCCGATACCGGCATGATTTTTAGCATGCTATCGATCAAGCGAGCAGATGGAATGTTGCTTCGAGTTGACCAGCCGAGCCTAGTCTGCGGCTAAGGTAGCAAGATATCCACCATACAAGCCTTGCACTCCAATTGAAGCAGAGCTGCGACTGTTCAGGATTGCAATCACCATGCTAAATGCTGTGGCTCAGGAAAGCAGGTGGATAACCGGATATGCAAATCTCATGATTTAACGACAATTCTGAGCTCGTCGAACTCCGTGTCTTTAGTACTATTTGCGATTGGGGCGTGATGACAATACCTTGGTTCCCTCAGTTGGATGGCTGTGCCACAACAAACAGTTCGTAAGATCTCGTGGTGGTGATAAAGAACAAGTGTGACTTCGTCAACATGAATTGATCCTGCGCCCTTGCTCAGACCATCTTGATATATAGGCTTGATGTATCTCCAATGACAGATTCGGGTAATACTATCAAGTTCTTGACTTCTTCCTGTGAGGCTGGTCATGTTCCAGGCTAGGAACCTCATCGTGACCCAACCGTTTCCTCTTTGGAGAGTTCTGGTAGCTTATGTCATCAGCATGATGACTGCAGCGAGCACGACAGGTGTGCAACTGTACGTACCGCTTGTAGAACACAGGAAGCATAGTGCGTCCACCAACAAGGATCCAGCAGTTCGATGGCTCCGTAGTAATGCTTACAACTGTAACATTGGCATCTATTGCAACAATACCGAAGAATATACCACAATATCTCTCCCCAAACTCGAACTATGGGGATGAAGTTCTCTCGCTGAACAATCTGGACTCCTAGTTAGCATATGCCCGTGGAAGAAGTAAGACAATCTGGGACGTACTTACATCGTCTCTCTCTCCAGTGACCACGTTTGAGCGTAGATCCTTATGTACAGCCTGGAACTCAGTCAGCCGGAATCCACAGTTGGTTTACCAAGGAGGCTCAATCACCTTCATCTTTCTGTTTCCGGATACAGAGACATTCAAAACAAAGTCGGACGTCCGGAGTACGCAATGCCAAACTCCAGCATCTTGATAAGGAAGGATGTAGACGACCTTCTTTCGGCCCAATTCTGCTACAGCAATTCGCTCTCTGCACAGTTGTTCAGCCTTGGTAGCAAGCTCTGCATTCTCTTGCTCGATGTCAATGTCTGATCGTCGGTTCGATCCTTGCGCTACGCTGTTCTCTTTCTCTCCTACCCTCCCGTCCGCATCTTCGATCTCGAGGACTCTAATCTCGGGGCCGCACGTGGTGAGCTGGGCTAATGTATTAAACAGTCTTGACGCACTTTTACGAAACTCAATATCTTGTTCGGAGGAGGCTCCGGGTCTGTGCGTTGTGCGAAGTTGTTCGATCGTTTTTACTTCTGCAACAGCAGGCATGTGATCTCTTTTCCCAGTTTTATCCTTTAGATCGAGCCGCTTCTTAAGCATCAGGGCGTTCATAGTGGGTTCTTCCAGGCGCTTTTCCACCTTTTTCAACCAGACTTCGCATCTGTTTCTCATGCTTGGACAGAATTCAAGCAAGACGTCCAAGTAATGGTGGCTTGGCTCGCTTATGCTAATAAAACTTCAGCCATGTCAAAGACGTTGACAAGTATCGCGATTACTTACCATGCACTGAGAGCTTTATGAGACACTTCGAGTATGCCTGCGCTAAATTTGTCGCAAAGAAGTTTCCATCTCTCCCCGTCACGTTTCCAAGATCGGACCCGCCTTTCAGCTTGCTTGGGATTTTGGGTGTTTTTGGTCCATTCACTTATGGCCACAGTCAAGAAACCGACGCCCGATGTAGATTTGCCATCTTGTCCCAATTGTTCTTTGGTCTCCTCGATCTGATAGTACAATGCCACCTTATAGTATCGAGACCTGATATCGGCCCCTGCAGCTTGCTCTGAAGTCTGCTGCAGGACATCCAGTACACGCAGTAGATCGGTCTTGTTCGTATCAATTGGTATGCTTGATTCCCCAGATGTTCCTCTACCAAGTAGCGTTATTGCCAAATTCGAATTCTCCAGAGATACTGCGCCATCATAATATCGAAAGAGAGACTCATCAGATAACTTCTTGTCACGTTGATATTTGAGCAATTTCTCTAGTTCACTGCCTCTAAGCCGATCCATATCTGCTGGGCGGAGTTTCTCCAGGAATGATCCAGGGTCATGTTTCATCAAGCTGATATTTTCTTGTCTGGCAAGAAATCCGAGGTGAAGATCTCGACTTAGGCTTCTTCTGGAGAACTCTTCTTCTTCGCTCCCCGGGGTTAGACCGCAAAGCCTAAGATGGGTGTCCGAGTCGCAGGCTCCGACGCTTGTGGAGCAAGTTGGTGTAGGTCTATCGTCTTCATGTGTGTCGTACAAAGAGATGATGTGATTGATCTTCGCTGCACCGGGTATTCGAGGAGTTGCTCTTCCTCGATTCGACGGTTTTCGGGATTTCGGCGGACCATATGAGGCTAGAGCATCACAGAACCATTCAAGCGATCCGCAACTTAGTAATATCTCAGACAGCGGCTGTGGCATCTGCTGAAGTAGGTCTTTTTTCTCAAGCTGATTGTCCGTGTGGACTAAAGAGCCCAATACACTTTGCAACTTTGTGATGTTGTCCTGCTGCAAGACTATTGTTTGACTTCGTGTCATCTCGAAAGATTCACTACGGGGAGATGGAAGCTGTTTGCAAGAATATTGAAGTCAGCACTAAGTTAGAGAGAGATAGGAAGATTGTGTTGCTTGTCTCTACGCTGCTTTTGAAGGAAACTGTGAATGATAACGTATCCGAGACCTTCCGATCACGCTGAAGCTCTAGCTCAAAAGTGCGGTGACTTGAATGATGACGATCTCACCAACGGACTGCTACCAAACAGAATCGACCAGATCAGGTAAGAATGACAGAAGTATGGAAGAAAAAACAGGTAACCAATCTTAGCAATGATTTGAAGCATATCAAAGGCTTGGGGTAGTCGTATAGCACCGCATGACGAGAGACCAGTTTCCAAAATTCCGAAACGTGGAATCGTCACAGCAGAGGGAACTTTTTTGCCCGCGATGCCGATACTGGCATGCAACGCCTCAAGAAACATTGAGGGTGAATGACCTGAGAGACATCTAGCAATGTCTGCAGAGGTAGTTCTCGACTCTTGGCCACCACACCGATGCCCACACTTGATTCATACGCCTGTTACTATCCTGTAAAAGGGTAATTAATGATATGTAGGCCAAGTGTGCCCCAGAATCTGATTACTGTTAAAGAATGCTCCCAGATTATCCACCTTGCAAGGCATGCCGAAATCGTAGTAAATCAGTCTGGCGGTTTTGAACAGTGTGCACTGACACTTCACAGACCTTCTTTCCTCGAGATAACCCGCAGGTTTGGGGCATCCATGACTACAGTGCACGGACAGAAGTTTCGCAAACCACTCAACGCGCTCCACGTCGTCAAATCTCACCCTTCTTTTCTGCATTAACATAACAACATGGCGCCAACCATTGAACGTTCGCAACCAAGCGGATCTCGCGCACGAGGCCCTAATCTTACCCCATACGAGCGTGGTCGGATTGTACAAGCGTACGAGGACGGCCGTACGCTTGAGTCGATCGCCGATCAGTTTCACCGCGCTCCGTCTACCATCTCTCGTACAGTCCGCGGCGCCTCAACCCACAACGAAGGCACTGAATTACCTCGATCTG